ATATATATATATAAATAAATAAAATGTACTTACTTTAATTAATTCCAAACTTACAAATGACAGCAATAATAATGTAACAATAAATACTGCTGAAACAATTACATCCACAGATCGTTGAGGTCCTCTCCGCTGTAATACGAAATTGCAAAACATGAGATAACAACATAAAAATAAACATACAAATTTAATTTTTAAATTGACGGGCATATTTAATGTTCTTACTTTCAAATAAGATCTAACACTCAACCACGTTTTTATGTTGCGCACTTTATTCAGCCGGAAATGTGGCAAATCGGACTTTCGCGCACGTCTGGATGACGTCAAGTGAGAAAATAATTTCGCGTATAAAAGTCTCTGCTTATACGTTCGTTCCGCTACTGCCAGCAAGAAAAACAAACAGCACGACAACATAAATCGTTCGAACGTTGAAATTAGTACCACTGTTCGTTCCCTGAGAAAGGAACAATTATTTTAAAAAAATTACGAATTCGCAAATATTTTAAAATATAAATATAAGAAATATTCTCTTACCATAAGGATGCTCCGAATGCTATACTAATTATTCTACACAAGACATCAGTATATGTTTCAAAGTTCACCTGGATCATATCGCTTGGTAACAGACTAACGGATGCATTATTGATATTATCTGAGCTTATATGATCACTTAGTCGTTTTATTGATGGTATAAAACATAATGCAACACTAAGTATTAGACCGCTATAAAAGTAATTCATGCTCTCTGGCATGGATTCAACTCTCGCAATAATTGCTGAACTAATATCCAACACTGATAATTCAGCCTTTTTGATATCACGCCGCGTCCAAATCGTACATGAAACTATAAATGAAGCGAAAATGTTATCAATCCATGTTTACTTATTGTTTTGGATGTATAATTGCTCAAGATAAATTATTCTTTTAATCATATGTATAAAATTTAAATTACATACTAACCGCGATCAGATGATGTACAAGTAGAATTAAATAATATCGAAGGTGGCAATTCAAATTCCCATGAGAAAGGATGCTCCACGAATTCTCCATAATTAAGATTAGTCTCGCTGGCTAAATCAGATTCTCCAAGTTCTGAACTATATATATAATAATATTGTTTTACAAAAAGATATAATTTTATTAAGATAATATTATGTCATCTTACCTATAACTGCAATCGTCGCTGTTGGTTGTTACTCCCATCCATTCTGTAGCAGAAGTTGTTGCCTCTGTTAGATGATGTGTTGTAGCTTCCTCACATTCACCTTCTTCTTCACTCTCGCATTGCTGTCGGGCTTCCCTCGATCCCAATATTTTTGTATGACGCATCTTTATCCTTGAATAATAAAAATTTATCAGAGCCGACTGATTA